TCACGGAGCGTATTTTAAAAATTATCGATAGCAATTGACTCACTGGAATGTTGTTTATTAATACATAAATATGTAAGGGTCATTATCGTTATGCATTTTTTGCCTTTCGTCCTCCTAGAATCGTCTCACGACCCACTGTTCGGCGTATCAAAAGCGTCGACGGTGCGTTTTTAGGCTGTGTACACACTAGGCGTTTTGCATTGCGTTAAACGCGCGTTAGCAGCGTACACACCGCGCGTTAGCTCGGCGTTAGACGACCGTTTAGTGGAGCATACGCACTGGCTCAGTTTGGAAATGGACATGAAAGTAATTGCTTGTGTGCCCCTCCTCCATCGTCGCTATAAAAGACGATGGCAGAGGCAAAGAGAATATTGGGTGCACCCAATATTACGAGATAGACTGACACACGGAATGTTTGCGACGTTGTATCCAATACTAAGACAAAATAAACCCAAGTTTTTTAATTCTTTTAAAATATCTATAAAATCCTTTGATAATGGTTGGTCTCTTTTAGATTTCATCGGTAAATAGATCAGTATCGAAACGATCGTTCTCCATTTCGGCCAACGTACGTCCACTCTACCCGAAAACGCGCGATCGAATGTACAGTACTGTGTAGTAACATGGCAGCACATATATCTCAAAGCGCTCGGCTGACGCCCGCAAAACGTGCGTTTTAAGAAAAATCTATAAACGCGGGTTTGACGCACGCTTGGCCAAAAGCGCACGTTTGAGTATGTATGCCTATGCAGAACTCTTGGTTCTTTAAAACGCGCGTTTAAAAACGCCTAGTGTGTACACAGCCTTAGTCTTCGAGTGTCGACCGAATTTTACGTCATCGTCTTATTTCTTGACATAATAATACAATTATTAAACAAAAACAATTGATATCAAAACAAAAATATCCGAGATGTAAAAATTTATGACAATCTAGACCACGATTAAAATTTTTCTTAAGCGGTTTTCTTTGGTAAATATAAGCTTGGCGCTTGTTGGCGAAATGCAGAAAACAATAATACAGGTAAAAATCGTGTGTGTCCAAGCGCCAAACTTATTTTTACCAAAGAAAAACTCCTAAAAAAATTTGACGGTCGTAATTTTTTACATCTCAGATGTTTTTGTTTATATTTTAATAACGATTCTAATTATTTTAATACAGTAGTTTGTGTTGATTATTAGAGTTTCATGTAATTAAAATATTAATATTACTCATATAATAAGCGTGTTGTTCTTAAAATACTTTGAAATAATTCACAAAACTAAATAATTCTTACCGAAAAATGGACTTTTTTAAAATCAAATTGTCCAAAGGGAATGTAGCTTTTTAATTGTATATTACCCGGACCGTGTTCAATAACGCAGAACGCCTAATTTAGAATTCTGACTGGCTTAGTGTGCGGAGCTAAGAATGTTCTGAGCATCATTGAACGATTATTCTTACACAACTAGGCAAAATGGTGGACGAAGTTAAAATTATGATCGCAACATTTGTCGCAAACGAACTGGTCGAAAAGAATAAAGTAACCAATAAATTATTCAAAACGGAAGCTGCGTCAGATTGTGATGAAATTAATAAAGCAATTATTAACTGTAATTAACGAAATGAACCGCTATCTTCCGTTAAAATGTCTTCGGAATCTGTTAGACCGACGTATGATAATTTTACATTTTGAAATCATTTTAGAATGAGAGAATGACTTTGTGATTCTTATAATAAAATACGTTTAGTCCAACACGAGCAGCCATCTTGCAAATCGTACGACGAGACAAAAACAATGACGTCACTGGTACAAGTTAGCATAGATAAAAGAAGCTGACTGAACTAGCTAGAATTCTAGTGGTGGGAGGAGTCGAGCAGTAGTTAGAAACGAATTCAACGCAGCATAACTAGACTTAGCAAGAATTCTGCGTTACTGAACACGGCCCAGCTAGCAGTGCTGGCTGTGCTATTAGACCAAACTAATAGACTTTTCCATGGGGGAAAGTGTATCCTTGTCCCTTTTGCGCTTCCTCGACAATTTTCTGCAGGGTAAAATTGTTCCTAAATGCTCAGCCGACAGATTTTTCTGCCGGTATTTTTAAAAATGCATGACACTTGCATAACAGCATTATGTGGCCAATTTTAATTTTGTTCAAATCGCAATTTCAATATGGCAAAGATAATAAATGGAAATTAGTTATGAAAACAAAATTTCAAAACGGATCTAAATCAGGATTCTTCAAAGCGGTGGCCACGGATATATTATCGCATCACTATTTGGATTATCAGAGAGAACAGAGCATATAAATATACAGTAATACCCCGACTTACGCGAACCCGGAGTTACGCGATTTTCAAATCTCGTCGATTCGTCTTTTGTTTGAGCGCCACGCAACCCTTGATTACTCACTCCCCCCACACTATTGTTCAGCTTACATGTTCGGATGTGTCGCGCGGAATCCACACATAGCTACAATTTATTTTGTGTTATTTATTTCTGTGTTTGTTATATCTACGGAGACTCGAGAGACTCTACTATGTCATCCAAACGAAGTAGAACTAATTCTTCTGCATCAAACAAGAAAAGAAAAACTTTATCTTTGGAATGTAAAGTTAACATTGGGTATGTTCGTAAAGTCGAACGAGTTAAACGAGAATGACGTCATCGTTATTCCTATTTCGTTAGACTTTTCGAACGATTCGTTACTAACGCGTTTAACTCGTTTGACTTTACGAACGTACCCATTATTAAAGACTTCGATACAAAAATGAAAATTTGTGAATTGGCAAAGAAGTTTGATCTACCGGAATTGTCGGTCAGAACAATTATAAAAGGCAAAGAAAAAATTCTCGAAGCTGTGAAAAATGCTCAATCTTTAAATTCAAGCATCATTCGTAAACGTCACAGTATTATCGCTGAGATGGAAACAATGTTAAAATTATGGCGTAATAATCAAGTAAATGTGAAAAATTGTAAAATAATATAGGCCTAATTTGTTATACATATGTATTATCTAAGATTTTATTAAACATTTTTTTCTAAATTATTGTTTTCTTTAGTCTCCGGCTCCAATTAAAAATTATTTGTATGTATTTATATGCAAAATTATACCCCGACTTACGCGGTTACCGCTCGGTCCCACCTATCGCGTAAGTTTGGGGTATTACTGTAGATTGTTCGATTTTCCGTGGACGCGGATTTCTATTGTTACAATTAGGTTTCTCAATTCCCTGTCTTTTGTTTGTCCTGGGATTCTGGGGGAAAAAGTGAACTGTTTTCCGGGATCCCGGGATATAATTAATTATTTTAAGACATAAAATAAATCTTAAAATCGAATGATATAATTATTTTTTATTTTTAAGTAACTTAATTTAATACAACTTGCAATCTCCAAAATAATAATTAGTTGTGCCAGCGGTTTCGCCCGCGTGGAATTCAGTTTGTGACAATGTTTAGCACAAGTTCTGACATGTGCACTGCGTATCTCGCCAACCACGCGACTGCGCCGCGCGATTACCTATCTCGTATATGTACGCGTCTTGCCCCTCGCCACCTGCTGACACCAAAAATATAAGCTTACCTAGATGATATCTTTTAATTTATATGAATGTTTAACGGAATAATATACAGCCTATGTCCACCCTGAAGGTCATTCTAAATATTTGTGAAATAATTTTTGAAATGGGATGAGTAGTTTCGGAGATTACCTCCTACATCCAAGCTTACAAACTTTACCTCTTTATAATATTAGTATAGATAGATAATAATAATGCTGTGTAAAATATGTATAAAAACATACTTTTGAGTTACGTAGAAATTTTCACAAATAGAAAAAGTTTATTAAAAGTTTATTGGAAACTGCTTACATTAAAAATGCCTTTGAATTGAGTTGAACATTTAAAGAAAAAAAATGAACTTAGATAAAACTTCTATGTTAGAAGGTAATCTTCGTTATTTAAATAAAACGTAATACAAAATGTTATTGTAAATTTTTATAATAAGATTTTAAAAAGCAAAGATGGTCAATACTCCGATCATTCGCTTTGGTTCTTATTTTAGTAATGAAAAGTCCTGCTACCAAAAAATGCCCTTTCCGATTCAATTGATGTGGGTGGAATCGTCTTTAATGCATTTAAGAGAAGACAGATATTATGTGTTTCTTCATCTGTAGTCTGGAAGATTTCTAATTTGTTTTCAGATGCATTGCAGTACTTCTATTGCTGTCTAGTATTCTTGACTTGTCTACCTCGGCTGCTTTAATAGCGGCATCAAGCTTATAGCTCGATAAGTTTGTCTTTAATTAATAATCAGGCTTATGAAGGAAAACTTCATACTTCGTAGTCGTTTGTATCCTTGCCCAATTTGCAGAATCTGGCATAATGCAGTTATTGAAGCTATACCGGGCATGGTTAAAAATTAAGACAGCATAAGCACAATTATTCCAGATATTATAAGTTCTGACAAGTAACGAATTTTCAGAGTCCTACCACAAATAGGCTACATATTAGATTATTGACGAACTGTGATATGCCATAATAAGCAAGTAAAACTTTAAAAAACTAATAAGCAGACTTAAAATTAATAAATACAAATGTATTCTGATAGTTTATGTGTTAATTATACTTTCTATTTACAAAATGTCCTCAACTTTAACACAAAAAAAGGAAAAAGTGAATTTTTAAGAAATTTGAGGGATTTCCCGAAATGAGAAGAATTTCCCGGGAGAAGAAATTCCGGATTAAAAAACAGCCGGGATCCCGTTGGAGAAACCCTAGTTACAATGCTATAAAATAAAAGATTAGGTTCTTATGAATCTCAAATTTATACAGCAGCAAAAACACAAAAGAAAAAAAAAAGCAAATTTTACCGAGATGATCATTCTGATGCATTAAAAAACAATTACAATTTGAAAATCAATAAAGATAATGTTTTTGAATTGCTTTATTTATTAAATTTTTATTATATTTCTTTTTATAAAAAATTTTAATCTTAGGTGTTGTGATGCCAGTTAAAATTAAGCGAAAACTGGCAACAGCGTTTCGTACTCTTTCTCGGAGAACAAAGAGAAGGCGATCGAAGAAATTTCGTTAATCTCAGCTTAGGAATTCTTTAACAATTTTATTAAAATGGCAAATTACGACGGTCACGTTGCTAAACGACAAAAAACCGAAGGTGATAATAGGGTATGTAATCGGCAATTATTCTGACTTACGTTCAATTAGTAAAGCTGATGTCTTTGCAAGTGGTTAGAAAATTTTCCATTTGTGTTTTTATTAACTTTTTCCAATGAAATGCTGTATTTAGTTCTAATCTAAAATTCAGTTAAATCGCCTGAATAATAATAAATCATTGTAATGTGTTTGATTTCTTCCTTCAGACTTTTTTTAGAACAGCGCACACTTTTTCGTAATGGCTGTTGAAATTTTTTTGGACTCCGTATTTTATATATTGATAAATGATAAACACGTTGATTTCTGATGCTTATCAATTTAAAACGAAATAGAAATTTATAGCAAAGTATATATATTTTTAATCTTAATTGGATAATAATAAACCTTAAAATTATTAATTGAAAAACAGTAAAAATCAATTGCTATCATTAAAAGCTACTTTTTCAAGCTATTTAAAACTCAATTTATATCTCAGAACTGATTACAAACGGAAAATAAAACTTGTTATACTGAAAACTTATTGGATTAGGCTCATTTCTTATCTTTTAATGCTACATCTGTTGTTTTTGTAATGTATAGATGAAAAAAAATATCATTTGAATTTTTTGGCTGCATTTGGCAGACTAAATGGTTGTAACTGAACAAATCGCTAGCTGTTATGTAGCAACCTGGATCTGCTGAATGATGAGTGATATGTGCGTTGAAACGAAAAGCCTCGTCGGTCGGTTTTGGGTAGCGATAGGTAGTGTAAATGAAAGATGCTACCAAATGTGGGGCCAAATGTATTCCAAAAGAGCGCTACCATAAAGGGCATTTGGCAGAAAAATACTTGACAGCTCCAGAACTGTTGAGAGTGCTGAATGCATCTATTGTTGATGTTGAAGAGATATTAACTTGTTGTTTGCCAGATGTGTATGCTACTACAAAGAAGAATTTCTTATCATTTAATTACATTAGATTTTTATGCTACTATAATTTCAATATCCTCAAATTGATATTTTTTCCATTGAGAGGCTTGTGTTAGCATATGGAGGCATTCAATTAAACACAAACAATATTCTGCCATTTATACTACTATGATAGTTTTTTATTATTTGTGTTTGAAGTTTCAAATTTAATATTAAAACATTTTTTTAATATTAATTATGAAGTTCTTGTTAGCGTTGGTAATCTTAGCATCATTTTGTCTTTATGAATGTACTTTGCAGAAATTTTTTAAGTATAATTTCTGACGTTATTAAACATCCTTTGTTCTGGCTAGTTAAAAAATACAAATTACACTAACAGTGCATTTTGGCTGGTTTTGGCCCACTTCAGCTGAAACAAAAATTTACTTTTTTTTTTTTTTTTAAATCTGACATCATGAATGAAGTGCACATAAAAAAATTCCTGAAGTTGCTTGCCTGGATTTAATCCCGGGTCTCCCAGAGCAATTGGCTGATATCATAATTGCAGAGCAGCTCAGCCATTTGGATATCAAGGAAATTACATTTAAAGAAAATTCTTATTAGTAGTAGTATCACTTTTTAATAACAAAAAGTAGAATCAGGAATTAAGTGCAATACATAGAACTGAAGAGTAATGAAGTTTAAACTACTATGCATATGTAGCTAGAACTATTTCTAAGATTATCAGCACAAAACCTTTCTCACTAATTTCTAGCCTTATTAACAGGAGTACAAACGTTTTCGGCCTTCTTAATAGGCCTTCCTCGGGTACACTGTTCCTCGGGAGCGTTGGTTAGAAGAAGTTTAAATGCTGCCAATGTTTCGTAACCCCCCTTCCCATCCACGGTCGTTCGCACGCCTCTTCTTATTGTATCGTTGAATATTTACGGCCTCAACTATGATGTCACTCCCCACTAACCCCCTGTTGTGATTGTGCATCTCCTGTACGTAGCATGCTTACTTTAAAATTTTTCCCCAACTTTAGCAAGTATCCTATCTGCACATTTCCCTTCTTTACCAAAAGTATGTATTTCTCGCCCTCGGTATCGTCTATACCTATCATCGATGATGATGTCACTGGTAAGATGATACCTAGGTAAACATTTGCAGCATTTAAACTTCTTCTAACCGACGCTCCACAGTGTACCCAAGGAAGGCCTATTAAGAAGGCCGAAACGTTTGTACTCCTGTTAATAAGGCTAGAAATTAGTGAGAAAGGTTTTGTGCTGATAATCAAGTTTAAAATACTTTTTAAAGTTGTATATTTAGTTTATTTTTATATTAAAAATTATTTTGAATAAAATTAAAAATTCTTAAATTATACATTTGAAGCAACAAGACAAAAGAAATATTTGAAATGGAGAAATAAGTTAAGTAAATTATTTCTAATGCTTAATACAGGTTTAATTATTTAGAAAACAAAACAATGCAAAAATTGTAAACATGTCAAATAGATTTCATTGTTAAAAAAATTCTGGATACATTTTTATTTCCTCAAATAATTGAATATCATTATCACAGAATTTAGGGGCTTGGTGGAAAAATTGTATGTTACACATTAGAAGGATTTATGTTTTAATTCATCAGCATTTTAATAAGCAATGTTTTATTAATGTGGGCAGGCTCATGGATACAATTGGATTGTTAAAGTTTTTTAGATGGATTGATGATGCACAAATCAAGTTTGTTAATAAATTGTTTTTTGTAGTTTTATGGGCTATACTGTTTTTCCACTAAGTCCTTCAATTATTCATAAGTCAGAACAATATTTCAGAAATTTTTCCACAACTATAAGATACATCACATGTTATGCACTAATGGAAACAAATTCTCCAAGTTTTTGCTTTTTTTTTTGTTTACCTATATTAGCATTGTTTGATGAGTGTGCCTTGGGAGATGACACACTAAGCCTATAGTCCAGTTCAAATTATGTTGGGCCTAACATTTCAATGTCAGTCTAATAGCAGTGGTAATTTTGAGCCATGTCAATATGCAGTGGGGACAAAGACCCAGTCTCCTTGAACCTCCATGAGAAAATGTTGCAAAGTGTCAAATTGGGAGTGTAGTCATCACTGCAGCAAGACTGTCTGGCCATTCTAATGCTAACTGTAAGTTCTGGTTCAGGTAACCTGAACAAATTTGAAATGTAGGTGTATCTTCCTGTTGGAAAATGAAGACATTTATATCTCCTTCAAGCTCTGAGGTATTAGCCACTGTTGCAACATGTCTAGATATGTCATTCCTGTCATTGAGTTCCCCAAAGAATGATTTGTGCAAGCAAACAAGGACACCAAATTTACCCAATTTTTAAAAAAAATAAAACTTGGACAGTCTGTATTTCTGTTGGTGCATAAAATTTCATGTTTGCTGAAATGTTCTGACTTATGAATAACCCTGTATAAGCACATTTTGCAATGTAATTATACTAGAGTTAAATTATAATTTAGAAATTTGATTGTGTTTTTGATCAAGATACATTAGATTCAACTGGCTTTTAGAATTAAATGTCAACACAGTATTATTAGAAAATTAATTTTCATCCTTTTTGTCTTTAAAAAATTGTTAAAAATAGATATATATCATAGCAGAATGACAAATACATTTTTTATTTGATGTTCTGACTTTGAATTTCAACTTTTTTTTTATTTTACTTCTATTTAAATTTAAATTGTTTTTGTTAATTTACATTTTAGTTATATTTTTAAAATTCAAAATTTTACAACTTTTAAAAGTAATCAAATATTTATTTTTGATTATTTTAAAAAGATTTTCAGATTTAAACTGAGAAGAATTTAAAATTAAGAATATCATATTGCAAGCTTATGAAATGCCTAAACCAAATTTTTAAGTTCAATACTTAATACCAATAACAAAGCTAGAACAGATAACTTCTGAAATCAAAACCATTCACACTGTAAATCTAAACAAAACATAAATAATAAAATGAGTTTCTGTTGTACATTGCTTAAATGTTTCAAACATTAAAATTTTCAAGACCACATTGAAGAATAGTTGTATTAACCCAGAAATTCTACTAACACTGGTGGTCATTCTTTAATAATCAGTAGTAATTCAAGAGTCAGATGCATACAATAATGATCCCACAGATTAATTATACATGAAAAGTCATATTCAGTGGTTACTGTTCACTTTTATTTTATTTTTCTGCTTTACATTTTCAAATATATCTTTTGGTAACAAAATTACAATGAATTGAAAATTTTATGATTACTGTCATTAAATGTTTGAAACATTTCAGTTTGGAATTTTGTAGTTTGGAACTTGAACAGGTTTAAAAAATAAATTGAAAACATTTGTATGCTTTCCTTTGGAATTAGCCCAAGGTTGCTGTTGAGAACAAAACATACAGGAACATTTTGAGTGGAAAAAATAGGTTTATTGACACTAAAGGATATGCATTTCAGGCTTAATGTCTTTCTTCATCCTATTATATCAAATATATTGGTAAAAAATTACGTAAGATTTACAGAATGTATTAAAATATATTTAGCATATGTGTACAAAAGTTTTTGCAGTAAATATAATTACCTAAGATTTATTATAATGAATGCTGGAATAACCCAAATTGTTATGTTAAACATGGGTGAAATAAATAAAATAGTAGAGCTAAAAGAATTTTGCTTAAACTATATAAAAACATGGGCTAGAATAATAAAAACAGAAATATATTAAATATAAAAATTAAGTAATTAGTTAAGAAATGAAATGATGTAAAATTAATAGGGAAATCTTTGATACACTTAATCATGTTCCAGTATTTTTTTTTGCCTAACATAAATTATGGTAGATATTCTATGGAAATAAGAGTATAATTAAAGTAAAATAATAGGGAAACGTGTAAAGTACGATATAATTCCGATAAAATGTTTTAAATGTTATTTGATTAAAAAGTAGAAGAGCACAAAAACATAAACCAACTAAGACAGCTAAAAAGTAAAGTGTTAAGAGTATTCACTGTATCATTATCAGAATGCCTAATGTGTTGTAGACACAGTGGGATACGATGGAGTGGGGGAGAGGAGGAAGGAAGTAATCTTAAAATGG